CCCAATGCTGTTGGCTGTAAAGACTAGGAGGCACCACTTATTCTTGGACACTTTTCACAGGTGGCTAGGTGGCATGGGTAGAGCCACCAGTCCTCAGGCCCCTGATTTGGGTAGGTGAGGATCCTGCTTTATGGGCAGAGCCATGTCAAATATCACAAACCTGCCACTCCACCATATAGCTGATACAGTGAAGTTAGGCTCAGGTATATACCCTATTGTACTGTACTAATGAGGGTCTATGCTGTTGAAATGGGCCCACACAGGTCTATGCAGGGGTAAAAGGTATTCAAAGTCCATGGACCCTTTATGCTTGTGCCTAGGCAAAGGAGCTGCGCCTTCCCTGAGCTCCCTGCTTAGAGGAGCTGACAGATTATTTTTTCTTGTTTGTTAATTTGTTCCCTCTCCAAGGCCAGGAGAATGGCTCAGGGCACGTGATGTGTCCTACTTCCAGCCCAGGGCAAGTGGCAATCACTGAAGCAAGCCCAGGAGCCGGTGCAGAGTGAGCAGGAGGCTGGTAAATGGGAGAGAGGTTCTTCCCAAATGGGGTGTTTGTTGATACACACAGTAGGTTAAACACATGTACTTATCTTTTGCCAACTGATTGCCACTTTTCCCTGGCTCTGGAGGCCTGAGTGGACTCTCCACCACTCGTTTTCTCCCAGCATGGAAAATGTGTCCCAAACGCCACTGCCGGACTCACTGCGCACGCCAGCTGATCTGGCCTGCAGGGCACTAGCTCTTGCCAGGTTAAGTCTGGTAATTCGTCACTGCTTCTGAACCATCCCTCCCTTCACCTGCCACTCAATCTGATTCCTCAACTCTGCCTTTGATGTTCAGGGCTCCCAGATTGTCACATATAATCAATTCACTTGTTTTTTTGGGTCTTTGTTATAAGAGGGGCCACCAGAAGCATCTAACTACTCCGCCATCTTGTCTTCACCTTCCTAAAAATATGTTTTTTTAAAAAATAAATATTCTAAATGCTAGCAATAAGTAGTTAAAAAATATAATAGAAAAAATTTCATTGATATGAATATAGATACCAAAAAAAAAATCTGTTGCTGTCAAGTTGATTCCAACTCATAGTCAGACTCATAGTGACCCTATAGGAGAGCAGAACTGCCTCATAGGGTTTTCAAGGAGCAGCTGGTGGATTTGAACTGCTGACCTTTTGGCTAGCAGCCGTAGCTCACCATAGCTTTTAACAACTGCAGCACCAGGGCTGAATATACATAGTACTTCTAAATCTTTAGTATGTATACAAATCACCCGAGACTCCTGTTAAAACGCAGATTCTGATTCCGTAGGTCTGCGGTGAAAATCAGTATTGTGAATTCTAATAAGCTCCTTGTTGCTGCTGATCACACTCTGAGTAGCAAGTTATATATATATATATATCCATATATATATATATATATATATATCTTAGACAACCCTATGGACATCACATGGGGTTGTTGTGAGTTGAAAATCAACTCAACGACACCTAATAACAACATATATATATATAACACACACACATATATATGTACACACATTCACATATAGAGTTTTATAACTTAGAAATTAACAAAAAAATAAGATCTTTAATTTTTAAAAGGTTAAAATATTACTGGGAAACATAAAAGAATGTTTGAATAAAGAAATGTCACATTACTGGATGGGAAGATGATAGTATAAAACGTCTATTCTTCTGAAAATTAATCTAATACCTTGAGTTTAACCCCAGTGAAAACCACCAAATGATGTTTTTTGCAACTTAAAAAAAAAAAAAAACCCGTAGATTTTAAAGTTGATCAGGAAAATAAATGTGCCATACCAGCTGCTAAATTTTTTCACAAAGAGGATAGATATAGCAGTTCTTCCCTTTCCAGAAATTAAAATGTATTTTACAATGATAATTTTAAAAAGTTGTTTCTGACACAGGAATAGGCAGATGAAAACCAAGACTAGAAAGTCCAGTCATAGACCCAACCACATATGAATTTAGTATAAAATAAAGATGGCTTATCAAATCAATGAAAGAAGGATAAATTATTTGACAAGTGAATTGGGATAGCTAAAATAATCACTGAAATAAACATAGACTTAATATTCTGGTCTCACAGCATTGTAACCTTAGGACTTAATAAGATAAGCAAACACATGATGCACACACATGCAAATCAAATTATGTGAACTTTAAAAGATAAATTTTAAATCATCCACAAAAAGCCATCTATACGCATAAGACATGCCACATATAAAAAATTGATAAAGAAAATAAACTTATAGCTATTATATACTGTTTTACATGATCCCATTCTCTTAGGACAGAGGTAGTTAATCAAATGAGCGATCATTGCCTGTTAGTAACACTAACTCCATTCGTCTGACAAAAAATTCAATGACTTCTATAATTTATTTATTCTCTCTAACATGATTCTTGTTGTTTACCAAGAACCCTATCAGCATAACTAAATCAGAGTTATTTCTGCCCTGATAAAATCAGACCAATCAGCACAGAGATCTTCTCTTTCTGATTATAATCATCTTTCCCCCCCCACTTTAGCTCCAGTCAGATTGTCAATTTTGACCCTAGACTATCTCCTACAGCTCCCAAAATGTTATGAAAGGCTAAATGATTTTTAAAGGACAAGTCAGCACTTCTTCTACAAGTTGTACACACCATAAGATATATCTGAGTAGTCATTTTAGAAAACGTCACATAAATAAATAAATAAACATAAACCTTAGGCTTTATAACCACCATTAACATGTCCTTGACACAAACTCAACAGGGGCATATTATAGGACACAGTGAATGCTGCAATAATTATGAGTCAAAAATAATAGATTGCTAAATGTAATATCTTATCCCAAATTTCTAAATATCTTCTACGATTACACCTCAACTTCTCAGGATAGAGACAGTGCCTGAGTCTTCTTTGCGTTTCTCTTATGAAACTGTGACTCACATGGTTCAGTGCCGGGTGGTGTTATCATTAAAAGAACCTAGTTGAGTCTAACATACTCATTTTCTGAAGACAACTACTGAATATGGAATGAACCCATGTGATAGTTTTTAAATTTCTAATATTTTAATCAGAAATCACCAAAGCAAATAATCTGTGTTCTTGGAGGATTAATGTATTCATTTGTACAAATCATTATTCATAGAGTACAGTAAAACCTTGTTAACTCAGACCTCCCAAATTCAGAAATCATCACTGGAGAGGCAGTAAGATGGAGCAAACAGTTAAGTGCTTGGCTACTAACTGGAATATTGGTGGTTCTAATCCACCCAGAGCCTTCTCAGAAAAAAAGGCCTGGTGACTTACTTCTGAAGAATCACAGCCACTGAAAACCCTGTGGAGCACTGTTCTACTCTTACACACATGGGGTCACGATGAGTCACAATTGACTCGGTAACCATTTGTTTGTTTAAGACGTAATATGAAACACTAAGGCTGGAGATGGGAAACATGACGAACTTAAAATAGCTCTTTAACTACATAGTTGTGTATGATTTTAGAAAGTTCCCTTAACCTCTTTGGTTTCTGTTCCTGTGTTTTAAGTTTGGAATTTGAACTAAATTATACAATCGATCCATTTTGTATCTAGAATTCTATGATTCCACATGGCCCAAATAAATGTTCTATTTCCATTTTCTTCTTTCCATAAGCAACTTTTCTGAGAATGGAATTATTTTTGTATGCACATGTTTTTTTTTTTTTTAAATCTGGAGTTCATAAATAACCTTAAGTGGTCACATGATTTCTCTAAATTTGAACAACTCTTTTTATGTGCATTTTCTGAACAGAGGTACATAGCTTTCATCTGATTCTCTAAAAGCTCTTTGAACCCCTCAAAAAAAGATTAAGAACTATTGACTTCGATAATGAACTAATTTCAGGTGATTCTCATCAGCTTGTGTAAACAGACTTACTGTATGTATCCCACATCAATAATACTCACTATATATTCTGTTAGTACAATCTACCTTTCAAACTTTCACTAATGGTCACCTCTTCATTCAGTAATGAGGCATGAACTGTATCTATTTAGTTCACCTCGTTATATCAAACGCCTTGAGCAGTGCCTAGCTGTAACAGGCTCTCAGTGAAGGAAGGAAGGGACATGTCTACCAGTTCATGAAGAAGGCAGCAAAGGAGTGATCATCTTCTTCTCAAATTGGCTTGACTTGAGCCTCCAGAACCCTGTGACATGATGAGGAGAAGGAAAAGAGAACAGTTAAGGATAAATCAATCATCTACAAGATAAGAGTCGCTCTTGTTTCAACAGATAGAATGGATAACATTTGCCGAAACTGCAAGTACAAAAATTGCATAAACCAAAAAGTCATAATTACTTTTATTTTGCCAAAGATCACAGAATTCTAGAGCTGAAAAAACCTTGTAAAGTTTAGTTCAGCCTTGTAATTTCACTCAGGAGAAAATAGAGGCCCAAGTGAATAAGAGACTTAACCAAAAGTGGCAACACCAAGACTAGCACGCTTTCCCAAATTCCACTACAATATCTACCGGGGGCAAGACACAGACCCTCATTACGGCATTCAAATGAACATGGTAGCCAGATTCCAGTTCCTTCCTTCTAGCTAAAATTCAGTAACTAACAACTTCATCCTTCATTATAGGAGACATATCATAAATAACATGATATTTTTGCCCAATCTATAAACATAAGCAAATAAAATAGCACCATGACTTATATGCAGTATAACTTAGGTTCAAATTCTTTCCAGACCTTTCTTTATCTGTAAAAAATATCAAATGCTATGAAAAAGAATTACTTTTATGTTGCAAACTTAATTAGCTTTTCAATAATGCTTGTTTATTTGTCTTAACTGACAATTACAGGAAGAAAGGGGCTTCATTCATGAGTATCTTTCAAAATACATAGTATATAAAATTGAATGCATGTGATTTCATTCTTATACACTTCTGGTAATTGTCTTTGAAAAATCTAATAACACTTGCATCTCCTTTATCTTTTAACAGGAGCATTGTTTTAAACCCAGCCTATTTCCGAAATCATCTCCGTCAGGCAACAGTGTTCAGATGTCTGGAGAGATATTCAGAAGCTGCCCGGTATGTTTGTTATAATGTTTCTGAAAATTTATTTCAACTTAAATTAATTTTATTCTCAGCTTCTGGTAATAGCATAATAGAGCTCTCCATTTCTCTTGTGGAATATGATTTTACCAGAATTATTGTCTTATAAACGTCAAACCAACAATTATTGACTATCTTTTTCTTTAATTAAGGCCATTCCTTGTTCATAGCTCTTAGCAAAATTCAAACTTTCCAGCCATGAGGTCACTGATAATGATGGGAAAACTTCCATGGGAAATTAGAAATGAACTTGACCTCCTGCTCTTGAAAAATTTCCTGGTCCTCGTTGTAATGACACAGTTCTCCTGCAACTCTCTCTTGAGTTCTGAAGATGAAATCCAGTCACATGGAAAGGATTCTAACTGCCTACTTCTAGGGGAGATGGCATCAGTTAGATAACATCATTTCCCTTATCCTCCAACATATAGATGCATGCTGTTTCTTATAATCACTTTATCACCTCAAGATTTTAGCATGAAAATGTGAATGGTTTCTAGACTTACTCCAGGCACAACTCCTAAGGAGAAATCTGGAGTAAAACAGATGAAAGACCAGGTTGTCTCTAGAACATTTACAAATAATTCTTTGCTTGAGTTTGGAAGCAGGAATTTAAACAAATAATAGAATGTTACCATAAAATTGACACCATGAAGTTGATATTAATTCCATTTTTGCAAGATGGACTCTCTGGGTGGTGCAAACGGTTTGTGCTCAACTACTAACCTAAAGGTTAGTGTTTCAAACCCACCCAGTAGTGCTGTGGAAGAAAGGCCTAGTGGTCTGCTTCTGTAAAGATTACAACAACAACAACAACAAAAAAAAAAAAAACCCAAAGGAGAAGTTCTACTCTGTAACAAATGGGGTCACCATAAGTCAGAATTAACTCGATGGCAGTGAGTTTGGTTATTTGCTTAAGACAGCCCCAGGAGTTCCCTGAACTCAATGAAATGATGTATGTAGAATGGAAAGTTAACTCTAATCACTCTCACTTTGCAATCAAACATCCAGTATGCCACAGGTCCTATTTTCCTGTGCTAATGCCCACTTTTAAAAAATCTATCCATCTGTTTTTTGCATTCCATTTTCTCCCATACTGTTTCTCCAGTGTTTTATCTAATGCACTCACATTTGACTTCTTACTTTTTATTTTCTCCACTGAATTCTCCCTGTGGTTCACTTTCTGCCCACACAGTTTTGCTAACTGTGTGAATGAGAGAGAATTTAAAGGATGATAGTAAGCTTCTTTTTGCCCCACACTTCAATGAACAGGTTTTTATAACGGCCACCAGCTACAAATGAGGGTAACAGGTTCAGCATAAACAGATAATAGCTATCTGCAAAATAGCTTTCCTTAAAATGTGGTTTATTAATGTATCTTCTGAATCTAATCAAAATATCAATAAGAAACGACTAGATGCAATTCCAGAACTAAATTTCAGCTAGTAAAAAGCTGCCAGTGGTGTGCTTGAGTCAGCTTGCCCAGACTCTATAGAGCTGATTTTAAGTATTCATGGATTTTGGAGAACCAATTGTTAAACTGTTGGGGAAATTAGCCGTATCAGGGGTATTTACACCATGGAAATTGGTAAATGTTACAAATCTGCATTTGTTTGTTTTTTGGAGTGCCAGATCACCAGCATATCATTGGCTATAACTTAATTGAATCAAGCCTAACTGTCTGGGTGAAAGTTGTGACAAAAATTCTTTATTGATCCTAAAACAAAGAAAACTTAAAAAGTAGGAATTTGTCAGTATTACCAGGTAAAATTGGGACTGACTATTCCATTGCCCTTGAAATGTGCATCCCTGTAGTGAAATACATATATCCATTTAATATCATTTAATGGTTGATCTTACAGTGTTCCATGAGAAATTTCCTGATAATTGTTGGTTCTGTTTCAGTATACTTTCCAACAAAGGAGCGATACAATTACTGTCAGATACAAGTGTTTTTTTTCATCTTGGTCGCCTTAGCAATTATAGCCCTCAATTCCCCAAGAGAAAGAATGTGATGACCTGTATATTTTGTGTCTGTATATATGTATATTTTGGTGTCCCTTAGCTATGAGATTTCTAATGTAAATCAATAAATATAAATTGTTATATAAAGGATTCATGATTACCAACCAATCTCTTGAAGATCTGGGTAGTTTGGTTCTGGCCTCTTATAAGCAGATTATATTAAAACTCATTGGCTACCATTACTGAACATTTTGATCAAAGATTCTATAGAAGAATCCTGATCAAACAGGAGAAAGCAGAACAGAATTTAAAATTCTCATGGACTCCAGACTTTCTGGAGCCAAGGGGGCTGGATAAGCCCCTGAAACTGTTGCCCTGAGAATCTTTAAAACTTAAGCCAAAAATATCCCCTGAAGTCTTCTTAAAACCAAACAATAGTTTAGCTTAACTAGTAAAAAATGTCTGCCTTGAGCATTATGCTCATTTAAGAACAAACTATATGGAATCAAAGCGACAACAGCAACTCAAACAATTAGATAGGAAACTTACAGGGCAGTGAGTTTATGTCAATGGGGAAGGAACAACTGAGAAAGGGAGGGTGAGAATGGTTGCACAACTCGAAAAATGTAATCAATGTCACTGAACTGCACATGTAAAAACAGTTGAATTGGTGTATGTTTTGCTGTGTATATTCTCAACAACAACAACAAAATAAAAACTCCTTGGAAAAATTAACACAGCAAGATTATTTCCTTTAGTGTGCTAAGTAGCCATGTTTCTGAAATTGAGAGGCACTTGCTGTTGTTGTGGTTAGTTGCTGTCGAGTCTGACTCATGGTGACCCCATGTATGCAGAGTAAAACTGTGCTCCACAGGATGTTCAGAGCTGTGACCTTTTGGAAGCAGATGGCACCTCTGTGTGGTTATGAACTACCAACCTTTCAACTAAGTCAAGTACTTACCTGTTTGCCCCACCAAGGGATTCCTGAGAGGCACCTACCATATCCAAAAGAATGCCCTTATTATATGACTTACCCATTAACCCATTTCAATGGAGTCAATTCCGATTCATAGTGACCCTATAGGACAAGTAGAACTGCCCCATGGGGTTTCCAAGAAATGGCTGGTGGATTCAAACTGCCGACCTTTTGGTTAGCAGCCGTAACACTTGACCCCTGGGCCACCAGGGCGCCTTATATGACTTAGGAGGTCCTAAAACTATGATTGTCAGCGAAGTGGATCTGTCACTATCTAATCTAAGTTAGAGTATTTCAAACCAGTCCCTGAAAATTGGAACATCTAACATTTTCTGGGAGTCCCTGGGTGATACAAACAGCATGCTCGGCTACCATCTGAAAAGTTGGAGGTTTGGGTCCACCCAAGGCAACTCAGAAAAAAGGCCTGGCAATTTATTTTAAAAAAATCAGCCATTGAAACTCCCTGGAGCACAGTTCTATTCAGACTCAGTGGGTCACCATGAGAGGAACTGACTCAACTGCAACTGCGTTGGTTTAGATTTTCTGAGCCTAACCATTTCTACCCAAGAAGGGATTCCTGGTGAATAGGCCAGAAAAGACTCAGAACAGCCTCATACAGGGGCAGGCTCTCAATCAGAGGGACTAGAGGAGATGACACTCCCTATGGTTGAATGGAAGGTGTCATTTAGGTTTACAGTGGGCAGGTCCCTTTATTTTATATCAACATCTTTCCTTCAGTGATACCTTACAAAAGGAAAGACCAAGATTAGATGGTAAAAACTAAATAAAATTAAGAGTGTTTTATTATGATTTAGGCTCTCAAGGGATTATGGGAAGCCTTGAAGAAACAGCTGACACTGGTTAAGTTGATGAAATCACATTTTCAGACCACAAAACTAGATTGAAATTGCTGTAAAACCAGCCCCCGCCCTGTCCCCAAGGTACAGCAACTTTGTGAGGCCTCATCTGAAATACACAGTAGCCTAGCTCTTTTGACATCTCTCTGCTTCCATCTGTATGAAAACATCTGTGTGGAAGTAGAATGTCCTTGCTCAGATCTGCCGCCCCTCCAACACATACACACACATGCACACGCACACACACACAGACACACCATTTAGCACTGCTTTCATGAGAAAGGGAGCCCTGGTGGCACAGTGGTTAAGGCTACGGCTGCTAACCAAAAGGTCAGGTCTGCAGTTTGAATCCACAAGATGTTCCTTGGAAACCCTATGGGACAGTTCTACTCTGTCCTGATAGGGTCACTATGAGTTGGAATCGACTCAACAGCAACAGGTTTCATGAGAAAGAGAAGACAAGAAAAATATGCAGAAATATGAAACAAAAAAATGCAAAGACAGAATATTTTGTGAAGAGATCTAATGACTTGGTAATGTGAATGGCATGGTATCTTTCATCTCTGTATGGTCAACGACGGTCACACAGCCTGGCATATACTGAGCACTAGTTAGGTGTGAATTAAATGAGCTCGTTTGTGAGTCTGTGGTGGTATGTAGTTGATAATTATTCAGCCACATCAGAAAGAAGATATCACATGAAATTGTTAGTACAACTCTGGTTGAAAGACAAATATGAGAGTCTTCACTTAGTAATTAAGTTCATGTAATAGTATGATGTCTCTTATGATGAAGATACATAGGACCAAAAATAGATGACATTGCACAGAAGCTTTAGTTAAGACTTTACTATGCAAGAGGAAGTAAACAGAAAGTAAATAAAGCAGCGAATGCAACAAGGCCCCTTTATCCATCACTGATAGACAATCAGCCAGGTATTTCTACATCAATGCACTGAGAAGGGACTATTTGAAGAGGAGTGACACTCCAGGAACCAGGACTCCAGGGTTCTGGGGCCTTCTCTACCCCTTGATCTCCCCGCCTGTGGGATTCACAGCCCAGGGTGTACTCGCTGCTCACTGTCCATTTCCCCTACCCTGGTTTTCTCTAGCTTCGGGCCTAGAGCAGAAGAAAATTAAACATTATTTAAAATGCTCATATGAAATCTCAAAAGCTGTTAA